AAAGAAAGAGCTTATTTAGAGGGTGTGTGTGTGTGTGTGTGTGTGTGTGTGTGTGTGTGTGTGTGTGTGTGTGTATTGGTACCGGGGATTGAACTCAGGCCCTGGTGCTCGCAAGGCAGGCAGCGGAACCTCTGAGCCAAATCCCCAGCCTTATTTAGAAAAATGTAATGAAGTGTTTATCTTGTATTGTTTGCAGCAGTAGGGGTTGAACCCAGGGCCTATGCCCTGAGCTACAGCCCCAGCTCTTTTGTATTTTGAAGTAGAATCTTGCTAAGTCACCAAGTTTCCCAGAAGGCTTGAACTTGTGACCCTCCTGCTTCAACCTCTCAGAGAGCCGGGATTACAGGCATGTGCTACCACACCTGACTGAGGAAGGGTATTTTTAGCCACATGTGAACAGGCACCAGAGTAATAATCCTCCAACGGCTCACTGTTTGGGAAACATGCTGATGTTTTCTGAAAGCTACCAGATGTTCTGGATTCTGTTTTTTGTCTTTGTTTTGAGGCTGCAGGGATTGGACTCAGACTCTTACACATGCTAGACAGGCAGTCTAATTCTAAGCTCCATCCCTACCCCTTTTTTTTTTCATCTGAGACCTTCTTACAGTTTCCTTGGGGTCCTCCTGCCTCTACATCCTTGGATTACAGGAGAACGCTACCATGTCTGGCTTGGGTCCTATACGTCTCAAGACAGATGACCAGTTAGGAGGTTGTGTGTCTATGTTTCTGTTGTTTCTTTGCATGGCAAAGGTAAACGAAACACAAAGCAGCCTTGCAAAGAACAAGTTAACCCGTGAAGTGGCTTAACTTGTCTATAAAGTTGTTTCGAAGGCTAACGGCAAAATTACGTGAAAAGAACTGACCAAGCTACGATGATGAGATCCCTCCTAAATGCCTTCTGGTATACGGCACTGCCTTCAACTCCATGAATTGGTAAATCAAGGGTGCAGACACCTGGGTACGAAGACAAATCATGTTTATTGCCCGATTCTGTTAGAATCCACAGAGCTGGCTCAGAAAGGAGAAAGATGGGATTGTGTGCCCACAGAGTATTCCTGATTTGTTCTCCAGGATGCCGAACTACTTTTGCAGAAATTTCAGGGAGAATTCTGTGGCTTCCTCTTCCATCCCAGGTAACTACAAACAACAAAGCTAAAGTGAATATTCTATCATGTAACCTAAGCAAAACATTGAAAAATATCTGTTAAACTCATACTGGCTGGGCACAGCTGCACACCTAGAACCTCAGCTACCTGGGAGGCTGAGGCAGGAAGATCTTGAATTTCAGTCTAGCAATTTAGCAAGACCAACATAGTTTCTTTCTTCTCTTTTCTTCCTTCCTTCCTTCCTCTTTCTGTCTGTCTGTCTGTCTTTTTTTGGTACCAGGGATTGAACTCGGGCCCTTGCACTTTCGAGGCAGGTGGCGGGACCACTGGGCTAAATTCCTGGCCCAGCAAGACGAACATAGTGAGACCGTACTTCAAAATAAAAGATGGGTTGGGGATGTAGTTCAGTGGTAGAGGATCCTTGGGTTCAAAAAAGAAAAAGAAGAAGAAGAAGGAGGAGGAGGAGAGAAAAAGAAGGAAAAGGAAGTAGAGGAGAGAGATGAGGAGGAAGAAGAGGAGGAGGAGGAGAAGGAGGGATAGTAGGGGGAGGAGGAAGAAGGAACCCAGGCATGTGGTACTTGCCTACATCCCAGCACTCAGGAAGCTGAGGCAGGAGGTACACCGGAAGTTAGAGGTCAGCCTGGGCTACATAGTGAGTTCAAGGCCAGCCTGAACCATGGAGTGAGACCCTGTGTCAAAGAAAAAGAAAGAAATGAAAGGAGGAAGAGAGGAAGGAGGAGGAGGAGAGAAAGAAGGGGAAGAGGAAGCTGGCTCAGGCATAGGAAGACACACTTGCATTCCCAGCACTGGGGAGGCTGAGGCAGGAGGATCAAGAGACCAAGGCCAATCTGAGCTACATAGTAAGACACTCTCTCAAGCAAACAAGTTTATTCTGTGTCACAGTGTGATACGAAGTCGCCAATTAGTCTGGGAGGTTAATGCAGGAGTCCTGCCTAGATAATTTAGGGAGAACCTGTCTCTACATTTAAAATTTGTTTTAAAGGGTTGGAGATGAAGGACAGTGCAAAGGGCCTAGGTTCAATCCCAAGTACCACACACACTCACACACACACATGCACACACACAAGCACACACACGAGTACAGATTTTGATCGGATTTTTGTGTTCAGGTCCTTGCTTGGCCCTTTGCTGGAGAAGTGTCGATGAGATGTGCTTCGTTTCCGTCTGACAGTGGACATAACACACAGCACGATGCAAGCCTCCCGCCCCCCCCGCCGACGCTGGGTATGCTGGAAGCCGCTGGCGTGGTCGTCCACGGCCTAAGAGGTGGCGGCAGGAATCCACCCACCTCGCCATTCCGGTTTCCCGCTCAAACGTCACATGTCATGGAAGTTGGCGGAGTTTGGGTCAATTCTGTGGACCTCCTCCATTTTCTCCTGTGTGCAGGGGGGACTGTCATGGTAGCGTGAGGCGTATGAGGGTCGGTGTGATGAGAAATGCGTATGTTGGTCTCCTTCCGGGATAACCGGCACAGAGGCCCTAAATCCCCCATGATTTTGCGCGTGTGAAAGGTGGAAGCCACAGAGAGTGACAAGGTGAAAGGACTGTCTTTTGATGCTGGTGACAAGTCCCCTCGATCATGAGTTTATGCTAATGAGGTGACTCCTGACTGACTGGTTGGTTGACTGAGGTCCTGGGAATGGAACCCATGGCCTCCAGCACACTAGGCAAGCTCTCAGCCATGGAGTGACACCCCCAGCTCCAATGAAGTGACTTTTTTTTTCCAATACTGAAGATTGACAGCAGGGCCTTCACACTGAGCTACATCCTCTGCTAAAGGGCTCACTTCTTATTTTGAGATAGTGTCTCACTATGTCACTAGATGGCTTATGTGGAGCTCAAACTCACAGCGATCCTCCTGCCTCAGCCTCTCACGGTGCTGGGATTACAAGTGTGCACCACCACAGCCAGCTAAAGAAATGTAGATTATATCAGAATTATATGTGAGGTTGAAACTCTACAGACCAAAGGATCCCTGAAATGAAAGGTTTTCTTAAGCCCTTAGAGATGTTAGGCAGCAAAGGCACCAGGTCCTGGGATGAGTTTCACAACTGCCCGCAGCAGGGCCAGGTGGCAGTTGGAAAATGTCACCAGACCAGAACTTAGACCATTTTTAATAAACTTTGGAGTAGGAAAGCACTTCCTGCAGAGTCACCTGCACTGACTCTAGACAAGAATGGTGGATCAGGCGCAGCAGAGGCAGGAGGGATAGGAGGACCATGACTGAGGACAAGCAGGCTCTGGTGGGGCTCAGAGGAGAACACACACTTAGCATGTGTGAGCTTGTTGGGGTCAACCCCCAGCTCCAAAGTCATACAACAAAAAAAGATGAAGAAGGAGGAGGAAGAGGAAGAAAAAGAGGAAGCTGGGTGTGGTGGCGCAGGCCTGTAATCCCAGCACTCGGGGGGCTGAGGCAGGAGGATCTCTGCGAGTTCGAGACCAGCCTGGGCTACATAGTGAGTTCCAGGGCAGTCTCAACTACAGAGTGAAAGCCTGTCTCAAAAAAAAAAAAAAAAAAGACGAAAAGAAAAAGAGGAAGAAGGAGGGGGAGGAGAAGGAGGAGTTCTTTCTTCTTGCTTCTGGATTGGTTGGTATCAACCATCCAGAGAGTTTATGTGTAAATAGGGCAATAAAAACCCTGGTGTTTGTTCTGTGGAGTTTAAGTCATAAATCCCACTCAAACATAAGCAGTCTTCATGTTGGTTTGGCCAGCAGCTGCTAACTGATTAACTTCCCTTCTACCCCAGCCCTCCTCATCGTGGTCTTCGTGATTAAATTTAGAACATCCTGGAAATTCTGTCTTATCAGCTGTATTTATCACATGAACTATTATTATTATTATTATGTGTGTGCGCGCACCTACAGATCAAACCCAGGGCCTCACACCCCTCGCGACTGCTCTACCACTGAGCTGTACCTCGACCCAGGAATCCATTTTTATCGAGCCCTTAGCCAGACACCTAAGATATCGCATACAGGTGTACATAGGAGATTTGGGGGGAGTCTTTGGTGGTTAAAGAAAGGTTTGAGAATAACAGTATCTCATCGAAGTATTGATCTTGGAGAAATAAAACCAAGTCAAGCAGAACTAAACTTTCCAGCCAACACACGGAGTCTACTTTACCAGGACAGCAGAGATCCGTCTGTCCTGACTCGTTGCTTCGTTCACAGTGACATCTTGATCATGGGGACGAATCTCACGTTTCTTGGCACCCTTCGCTCCTAACCTGGTGTCTTAGTGGGGGCGCAGCACAGGGAAGGAGCCGGATGTAGAGATTTGCTGCCGGGGACGTGGACTAGGTGCTTGCTGAAGCAAGCGAAGGAGAGGCACGGCCAAAGTGGACTGCAGACTGTCAGGTAGAAAGAAAGACAGGCTTGCCAAGCATGGTGTCAACTTTCACCAGAGGAGACGCGACAGCAGAGAGGGGGCTGTCCAGGAGTCCCCGCGCGGTGTAAACTGCGAAGTACAACAGGAAGGGGAGCTGCACCTTCCAGCAAGTCGCCCAGGTTCGTGCCCTCACTGTTACTGTTCCTACGGGTGCCCCGCAGCTCCAGGACAGTCCGATGCCCGAAGGCAACGGCAGATCTGCTCTGGAAGCACGTTCGTTTGCACACCTCCCAGAGCTGCTCCTCCAGTACCAAAAAACAGGCCCCTGCGGACCCGAGCTGTGGGCTCCAAGACAGAGACACACTGTGAAACCAGGGATGGGAAGGGATCCGGGGCCCAGGGCTCACTCAGCAGAGGGAGCCTTTTCTGCAGCATGGACAGCATCAGGCTGAAGTCACGGGATCCCTCGAACTGCCCTCCCGGTGCTCCTGGGGGTCTACACTCGCTGCCTGTGGCCATGTGGTCAGAGGGTCATGACCGCGTCCGACGCTTGGTGGAAATGCGTTTGCTGTCCTCTCTGCTTGGCTCCAGGGACGGCTCCCCGGGGGTGGGTGGAGCCTCCCCCTCCAGACTCTGGCTGGTGTCACCCAGGGAGTGATGCCTGCCTCTGCGCAGCACTTCACCTCCAGTGGTGTCAACCCTCTAGGAGACAGAAGTACGAGGACGGGGCCAGCTGCAGCACATCGCTGTCCTCTGCTGCGCTCCAGTTCTCCTTCCTCACCCAGACCAAGCGTGTGGACCTAGATTCCCTCCCGCAGAGCGGCGACCTTCCCCGTGTAGTCAGCACCCTGCACAGGAAACCGGGAGGTGGCCTTCGTCCCTCAGAGCCTTGGCTCTGTCCGGGGCCAGCGCTCAGTGTCTCCCACGCCGTTCTCTGCCCTTCCTCTGGCCCCTCCAAGTTCCCACCCCACTGCCTTCGAGAAGAGGGACCCTTGGCTTCTCTCCACCCTCCTGGAATCTTTGGCTACACCTCAGACGGACAGAGGAGAGATTAGCAGAGAGAAACCGCTGTAACTGCTCTCTGATACAGGGAACCCACAAGGATATGAGGCTCAGAGAAGGTCAGATGACCGAGGCTTACAGAGCATCCCGAGGGCAGGAAGAGCAGCTAGGATTTGGGAGGAGGCGGAGGTAGACAGAATTTGCCTGGTTATGTAGATGAAAGGCTTTGAGATGCCGGAAGTTGTCTGAAGCCTCTCTTCCGGGTACCTTTTTACTGGTGAACATTTTCCTTCTGTAGATATCATTTTCCTTTACAAAAGCATAGCTTTTCAGAGTGACTCGTTTGTCGACCACTTCTGCCAGGTATTCATTGATATGGCAGAGAAATAACCTTTCTCTGGTTATTTTTGGGGTGGGGTGTCCCGAGCCCCAGGAAGCCACCCCACCAGCTGAAAACTCCAGGGGGTGCTCAGTTCTCAGTCAGGGCCCTGTGTGGTCCCTCTCCCTGGTCCTCACCACAAGGAGTAAGCTTGCGAGCTCTTCAGTGCCACCCAGCAAAACACAGGCCGTGTCCCTCCTTCCCCATCTCCCTAAGGAGTTCTTACACTCGTGGTACCTCCAGGGCTGCCATGATTCTACCGGGCCCACATCAGTGAGGGAAAACACACAAGCTTGGCAGGATCCCAGGGAGGATCCGGAACTCGGGGTCCCCTCCTGACATAGGAGGAGTCAGGGGCTTTTACTCTGGGGCTTTTGTGAGGGTTTCCTAGGTCCTCAGCCCAAGGTTATCCTTGCTGCAAGGACCTCTTGTTGGGTCTGAGACACAGCACCGCCCCCAAGGAAAAAATAGAAGAGAAAAAGAGTGGGCTGGGGATGTCACTCAGTGCTCCCTGGGTTCAATACCAATATTAAAAAAAAAGAAGTAGCGGGTGTCATGCAGCTGCATCTGACGTATTAAAGAACTCGCAGCTGATGGCCAGTTTGTCTTTATCTGAGCAACTGTTGGTGCTTGCTTCAGCAGCACATATACTAAAACTGGAGCAACTGTTCTGTAGATTTGAAATCAGACTTTATCTATATTTAAATCAGCTGCTCTGAATGGCGTCAGCTTTTTGGTGATACTTTGTAGAGAACACTGACTTAAACCTGTGACTGCACTATAAATCAAGGCATTCCAGTCACTCTTAAAAAAAAAAAAAAGTTCTTTTTTCACTGCAGTGTTTTTGCTGAGCTGGGCATGGAGCTCTGGGATTTGAACTCAACCCCCTCCCTGCAAAAAAGCTTTTGCAAGTCATCCTTACCTTTGAGTTTCCAAAGGAAAACAGATTGCTGATTTTGCTGAGGTGGCTTCCTTTTGGAATTTCTGGCTCTCTTCAGTTCCAAACACCAAGAGTAGTGAGCCCAGGCAAGCACGGTACAGAGTCCTACAGTTCAAGGGGTGAGGAGGGACCCTCCCTTAGGCCTCGGTCCGCAGCCACCGCCACGGTGGCCCTGCCTTGCAGCTGTGCCTGCCTCAGCTTGCTCTCCCTCTGACGGTTTCAATCAGGGTGCTGAGTTTCTCAGTCCAGTTCGAAAGGGAGGTGATGAATACACTGCAATCCATGAGCTGTCAACACGGATGCATACATAGCAAGCCAGACAGGCGCTGACTGGAAGATTTCCCCACATACTGTAAAAAAGAAAGAAAGGAGAGGGAAATATCCAAATGATCTGATCGGAAAAGAGAAGCTGGGGCACTCGTCTCAGGTGGAGCTCTTGGGACCCGGCTGGGGTGGGCACAGCTGCCCTTGGGCAGCAGCCCTCAGAGCCCAGGAGGTGCCAGGAAGCAGCACCTGTGGGGGGCACAAAGTGAAGGAGGGGAGAGCGTGCAGTGTTCGGGCATTGATCAGAGGGGCTGGCCAGGAGAGAAGCAGGAAGTCCGGGTCCAGAGTGAGGTCAGAAACAAGGATCAGACCAAAGAAGGGAGTTCAGAATTCGGATTCTCAGTTGGGATAAAATACACGGTCTAGCCGGGTGTGGTGGCACACGCCTGTAATCCCAGCACCCGGGAGGCTGAGGCAGGAGGATGGCTGTGAGTTCGAGACCAGACATAGTGAGTTCCAGGTCAGTCTCAACTACATAGTGAGACCCTGTCTCAAAAAAACAAAAACAAAACAAAACAAAACAAAAAAAAACCACGGTCTCGAGCAGACGTCGAGGAAGAGGCACGGAGTGGGGCTGGCAGAAGTATGGTCCACAGGGAAATCGAAGCCGAACTCAGAGAGTGTCTGTTCCACAGAGCTGGCTCCCTCTGGGAAGGGCACTCCGGAGGTTTTAGGTTCTCACCGCTGTGGGACAGCAGCCCGCTCAGCCCGGTGAGGGGAAATCTGTGTCAAGTCCTCACATGGCTGGCTCCCCAGTGCCACTGTCCCTCCGCCCGCGGGCTCACAGTGCACCCTTCCAGGTGGCTGAGGAAAGAGCTGTGCAGGAGGCACAGACCTGAAAACACCCTCAGCCGTGATGGCCTTCCGGCAGGCATTCCTGCAGGGCAAAATGCTGCCTCGCTGTGTTATACCGAAAGATCCAGCCACCCACCCTTCCACATCTCTTCTCTGTAATTTGTTACAAATACTCAACCATTAATTCCTACCACCTGGCTCAAGGTTTGGCCTGATAGGTAGGTAAAAAGAAAGAATGAGGAGCCAGGCATGGTGGTGCATGCCTGTAATCCCAGCACTCGGGAGGCTGAGGCAGGAGGATCGCTGTGAGTTCGAGACCAGCCTGGGCCACATAGTGAGTTCCAGGTCAGTCTCAGCTATGTAGTGAGACCCTGTCTCAAAACACCCCCCACCCCACCCCACCCCCGCCAAACAAAAAAAGAAAAGAAAGAAAGAATGGGGAAGAGGGAGGGGGAAGCAGAGAGAGAGAGAGAGAGAGAGAGAGAAGGCCAGAAGGCAGACAGGCTGGCTATAGGGAACGAAAACAGAAAAGCAAGAAGAGAGAGGCAAGGCAGGGAAGGAGGAAGGCAGGGTGAAGACAGTGGCATAAACCCTTGCTTCGGGTCAGGCCATTCCTTCCGGGAAAGTGGGCCCGCGATGACCTGCATCACTCGCAGTTTCCCTACGGGAGGTCTCGCTGACCCCCGACTCCCTCAGTTCTACCCCAGGGGTGGCAGAGGCACCCGAGGAGCTCTGGTCTCCCTGGTCACAGCGGCTCCTTCCGGCTGCAGCTAAGGTCTGGGGGCTGCTGCCAGGGCGGTGGCCAGGCAAACCCCGCGGGTTGTCAGACGGTGGCAGGGGGTTCTGTACATGAGATACCAGCACAGTGCCAACAAGGTGTCCTCCTGGTGCGCACTGCGCGGGGCCCGACTGCCCTTCATGTTCTCTGTGCGCTGGTTTAGAGGAAAGGAATGGCTGGCTCAGTAACCAACTATCAGGTACCAGAGGCTGTGCTAATTTTCTCCGGGAAAGAAATGAGATCTAACACAGCTGCTGCACTTAAGAGTTACCATCTGAGGAAACTCAGGGGAATCCACTATTGGAAGTCTGGATCCATCTGACTTCTGCACTTGGTACACTGAAAGTGTAATAAGTATCATTTTGTGAATGAAAAGATGAAAATAAAGTGTTTGTAGATGGGGAGGAAAGAAAAAAAAGAAAAAAGAAAAAAGAAAAGAAAAAAAAAGAAAAAAAAAGTATCATTTTGTTTTGTTTTGTTTTTTGAGACAGGGTCTCACTTTGTAGTGAGACTGACCTGGAACGCACTATGTAGCCCAGGCTGGTTTTGAACTCACAGAGAGCCTCCTGCCTCAGCCTCCCAAGTGCTAGGATTACAGGTGTGCGCCACCATGTGCTGCAATAAGTATCATTTATAGAAGAGTCTACTGACTGTTTTATAGGGTCTGTTCTTCTCTTCTATAACCATAGAGCCCTTGTTTGCAACTAGTTACAGGGACGCAGTCCTGACAGTGAAGTGCCCATGTGACTTCATCGGGCTCTGGGTGTGCCTGCGTGCGCGCACGCGTGTGTGTGTGCGTGTAGGGAATGCAGGGTGCTCCGCTCTTTTTGATCCCTGCTGTACCTGGAGTGAGGATGTGATAGCTGCATTCTTGCAGCCCAAAAGCCACAGGGAGCAGCCAAGATCACTTTGGGAGCTGCTTCAGATGATGAAAAGTTCAAAGGTTGGGAAGATGGAAAGAAATCACAAAGGTTGACTGAGAGGAAACATTCTGTATGGTTGGCATTGAGCAAAGAAACTTGTTTCCTCGACAGCAAGAGAAGTAAGTGAGGGCCAGAGATTTAGCTCAGTGGTTCTGCCACCTGCCTCGCAAGCATGAGAACCCAAGTTCGATCCCTGGTTTAAAAAAAAAAATGGGAGAGAGAGAAGAAAATTAGTCAAGAATAGATGCTCAGCCCTCCATAATGGCCATGCCTATATCCCTAGCGCTCTGGGAGGCTGAGGCAGGAGGAGGATCCCAAGTTAGAGTCCAGTCTGGACAGCATAGGGACTTAGGCAAGGCCCTGTCTTAAAATAAAATAAAAAAAAATTTAAAAGAGATGAAAATGTAGGCCAGTGGGAAAGACCTGGGTTCAAACCCTAGTACTGCAAGATACATTTTTTTAAAAAAAGTTTTTTTGAGTATTCAACAATATTGCATAACAGCTGTGGATGTGGCTCAGTGGTGCAGCACCTGCAGCCAGCAAGAGGCCGAGTTTGCAAAGCCTACTTTACACAACACTGATAAATTGAGTACAACCAGGAAGGTCTATTGGACTTGGCAACGCGAGATGTATTAGTGAGTTGTCTGTTGTTTCCCTGTGGTTAAATTCAAGGTTATGAATTTTGAGCAAGAATGGCACAGAATGTCAGATAAGGAGAGAAGTGACATAGATTCGCTTCAGTTGTACTTAGGCTGTTAACTCCACCCAATTTCTCCACTGTAAATAGCATAGGCAGCACCTGGGATTTTAACCTACCCCCCCAACTCAGTAAGAATCTCGTGCGGATACACTGTGAGTCTAAAATAATAATCCTGTCCTCATGTGTTTGGCATTTATTTAGCATTTCTTGTCTGCAAACCGTTGTTGCCATGATGTTTGCTGTAAGGTGCTCCTAACATTTCCGTTGTCGCTTAGTTGGAACTGGAGTGTACCATGCAGGGGTTTTCTGCTCACTATTAAGTCAGAGTGTTCAGGCTGCTGGCTGGGGTGTCTGTGATCATGATTCGTGGTCACCTTTATCCCACGAGAAGCCAGGAGGCCGATGGAAAGGGGTCAGACTTCTGACCCTCAAGCAAAGAATCAACCTTCCGTTTTGGGAGGTTTTCTTCTAACTTTCAATGTTGAGAACTTAAGGACAATGCCCATAACAAGACTTGGGCGACTTCTCTGCATTAAGTCGGATGAAAAAGAGCGAGGGGAGAGTAGAAATGAAATGACAATTTTGCATTCAGTTTCAGCTGCCTGTTAGAAGGAGAAAAAGGACACAGTTCTCAGACTCGGCACAAGTGAGATGACCTTTATGAATTCTGATCGCTTTACATAATCAAAGGAAGGCTTTTCACGGCTCTTGGCAGGAGGCTGTGGAGGTGCCTTTGACTCAAGGACAAAACTTTGATTTGAAAGGGGCTATGGTTTCTATTTTTCCTTCCTAGGAGCGGACACCTGGCAACCTTTCCTTTCTTACAGGAAACCACACTCTTGAAGTAGAGTTAAGGGCAGGATCTTTCATGAGGTGAATTCCAGGAGTTTTGGGGTTGGGAACCCACAGTTCCTCACAATGCTTCCCCACAGCCAAGGGAGGAGTAGAGGGTCATTATTCTTTGCAGCAAAAGACTAAGGGACACTATGAATGAAAGGGACCAAGCCAGCTCCTGCAGACAGGTGCCTGATGGCCGGGTGCCAGCTAGGCTAGCTCTCTCTGCAACAGCGTTGTTGGCAGCTACTTAGAAAACCTGACTCTAGAATTCTCTCCAAGGCTGTCACTTCTCAGGGTTTGCTCTCTAATTCACCTGACTTCTGCCCTCCTTCAAAACTGGCCAGGAGACGCACCGCTTGCCTGATTTCAGTCAATGCCTTGGTCAGAATGACCCTCTGTGAATGGTGCATCAACAAACCACAGGAGAGTGAAGATGGCTTGATTGTACATTTCTCTCATACTATCTCTCTCCAGTCTCCTGACTATGAATATTTCCCAGCACAAAGGAGACCAGAGCGCAGGGCGTGGTAGCACACACCTGTAATCCCAGCACTCAGGAGGCTGAGGCAGGAGGATCGCTGTGAGTTCCAGACCAGCCTGGGCTACACAGTGAGTTCCAGAACAGTTTGAACTGCACAGTGAGACCCTGTCTCAAAAAACCAAAAAAATAAAAAAATAAAATAAAATAAATAAAGCAGTCAGAAGCTGGGTGTGGTGGTGCACACTTATAATTCCAGCACTTTGGGGGCTGAGGCAGGAGGCCCTCAGGTTCTAACCAAGCAAATTGGAGACTTAGCAAAATCCTGTCTCAAGAACAAAACACTTAGAAAAAAGGCTTAGGATGTAGCTCAGTGCAAACACCTTGGTTCTATGTGCAGTACTACAATACAAACGAAAAGCAAATCAGATCATGTCACTTAAAACATTTAAACAGTTTCCCATTAGTACAAAAAAAATTAAAAATCCATAGCTCCTTGAACACATAGGACGTGG